TCTTGGGGAACTTGGAGGAGATGGCGTGGTGGGCAGCAACATTCTTAACGACTAGACCCTTGTCTCCCTCGATTCCCTTCAGCACAGTAGGCTCTTCGACAGACCATTCGCCAACATAGGCCCAGTCCTCCTCAGACTTGGAGTCCTCCTTCTTGGCGTGGGAAGGAGTCCACCGGCTATCCCAGTCATCGGTGAACTGCTCCAAGAAAGGAGCCTTGAGCGTGGTAGGCTGTTGGTGCGGAGTCAGCATTATGCAACTGTGGTCAGAAAGAACCGGGCGACGATCAACATACGGTGAAAGTAGGCTTCTCCGCAATGGAGGTGGTCTCGGGCTTCTTCTCGGTCTCATCAGCATGGGCCATGCCCATGATGGAGGCCGAGGAGACCAGGGCGGAAGTCAAGGCAGCGTTGAAACGCATTGTGAATGGGGATTGGCGCTCTGGAGGCTAGAACAATGAAAACAAACACGAGCGCACCCGCGAATTAACCTCGATGGGTCGGGTGATTGTAGGGGAGAATATCTCGAAGAAGTCGCGGTACAATGGGGCGACAAGCAGGGATGGGGAGGATGGAAGGTGGAGGGTATGTAAAGACAGAAGAATGGGGGAGAATGGGGGAAATGGAAGGTTGGTTATATAAGAAGCTGCATGAAGCTGGGAAGTTCCAGGTGGCCTCTTCCTCTCTCTTCCGCGGCCGCTGCTTCTTTGGGGCCCGCGGGTAAGGTCCCGCCTGCCCGATTTGGTTTAGCCAGCCTGCCACAGAATTACGCCGTCTTAGCGCGTATTCGCTCTGTTTCGGTACTGTAATTGGAGTAATTTAGCAGAAACACTGCTCGTGCTACCCCAGCTGTGGTGCATGACCTTCTTGATGTTCGTGCTCGCAAGATCCAAATAGATCAGATATGCCTCTACGCCTATCCCTTTAGAGCAAAGGCGCCCCTACTATTATCAGGAAAATATGCTTTGGGGGCTTCAAGTCCAATCTGTCATTGATCATGTACTGCCTGTCCGCCAATGACAACCAGCCGATGGCGCAAGTGTTTCTCCCCCCGCTACCTTAATTGAAATTAATGGCCGATGCTTCTCTTCCCCTCCCCGCCCAACGTCTTTTTTTTCGACCTCCCCTCTTCTCTTCCTGTCACACCACAACATTTGTCGCTGTGTGACTCGAAACATACCGTTGTCGCAAGGGCATATAAGTCTGGAGATTTTCAGTTACTCACGGATAACAGACTAAAGAGGCGCTGCGATCACTTTCCAGCCGCCATCACGGACCACCGAGATCTACACTGCCAATTTGCGGAGGCACAACCCCAACAATAATCACCATGTGCCAAGAACACGAGAACCAGAACAATGACCACCTGGTCCAATCCTCCGACCCGGAGCACCCGGCTAACCTGATTCCCGATCTCTGTCGCCGGTTCTACAACTGGGGTTGGGTTACCGGTACTGGTGGTGGGGTACGGAGCTGTCGCAATCCTCGAGGATGACCCAAAATGCGTGTGCTAATTCAAACCGTTCTGTGTAGACTTCCATCCGCCAGGGCGAACACATCTTCATCGCGCCCTCCGGTGTGCAGAAGGAGATGATGAAGTCTGAGAACATCTTCGTTCTGCAGTTCCCCACGCCCAAGTACCCCCCGTCTGAGCGCAAGTACATCCGCAAGCCTCTCAACCTGAACCCCTCCGCTTGCACTCCTCTGTTCTTGGCCGCCTTTGAACGTGGCGCCGGATGTTGCATTCACACCCACTCCCAGTGGGCCGTCCTGGTGACGCTTCTGGTCGAGCGCGAAAAGGGCCCCGATGCCTGCTTTGAGATCAGCAACATCGAGCAGATCAAGGGTATTCCCGCTGGAAAGGGCAAGGGCTACCTGGGCTTCTTCGATACCCTGCGCATCCCCATCATCGACAACACGGCGTTCGAGGAGGATTTGACTGGTAGCTTGGAGAAGGCGATGGATGCGTACCCGGACACCTATGCCGTCCTTGTCCGTAGACACGGAATGTAAGTCATCGCGCTCGCGTATCATTTGTATGGTTTACTGGAGACTAATTGGGGCGCATCTAGCTACGTCTGGGGTGACAATGTTGCCAAGGCGAAGACTCAGTGTGAGAGCTTGGACTATCTGTTCCAGCTGGCTGTGGAAATGCACAAGCTTGGTCTTCCCTGGGTGAAATAGGGATCTTGTTTGTTAATAGCATAGCCATGATGACGAAGCGGAGTTTATATATATGGGATGAAAGCGTGGTCAAGTTGATTATGGAAGGGAGAGATTCACACGAGCTTTCATGCAATGACGAATGTATGCCAAGCGCACAGCATATTTCTGTAGTGTAGAGTAGACACGACCAATCCTTTCGTACATGAAGCCTAATTCATGTCATACTTTTTACAAGTAGTAAGTAGAAAATACTGTAAACAGCTCGCTGGATGGGAGGTCTTGGCGGGAGAAGCCTAAACCATTCGGAGTTGGCGCGGGATCCTCAGGCTCGTCAAGGCGGGCCGCCCTGTCGACGGACGGACTGACTGACTGAATTGCTCCCCGTCATCGCCAATCACTCCTCCATCCCGCGGTCCCTCCTTCACCTCCTCCTTCACCTTCGTTCCTCCGTCCCTCCGTACCTGTCTTCCTCGCTATTCTGACACCATTTCACCAATTCCATACTCCGAACTTAAATCTTTCTCGCATCCCTGTTCTTATTTGATCCTAATTCATGGATCTCGACGCAGGAGATTCCCCGTGGGGCGGTAAGCAAGACATCAGGCAGTCACGGATTCAATCGCAATCGTGTCTCCTCTAATGCAGCGCATGCAGACGTCCCATCTCAGTCGCCCCCCACCCACACCGCTCCCGAAACTGATACTCAAGAGACATGTACGTCTTCTAATATCTCTTTTATTGCTGTCCGCATAACCTAACCGACATTGACACAGCTCCCGACCAACCGACACAGCCAGCTAGCTCTAACAATGCTTCTCGTTCTCCCGTCCGAAGAGGCCCCAGAGGCACCCGCCGGATCAATGCGCAGGCGACCAAGTTAGAAGCCGTCGACGATTCTTTCGACCCCCTCGGTCCGCTTGGAGACAAGGCCACGGAAAGCAGCCCCAACGAACAGGCTCCGACCCCACCGCAAAAGGAGGCGTTCGGCGCGCGCGGCGTGCGTCCGACCTCTTCGGCATCGCAGGCTTCCAGTAGTGCGGCGCTGGGAGAATCTGTGAACCTTGAAGAGGATGGTGCCGGATTCCGAGGCCCTCCGCCGGTGCAGCCCCCGAGTGACGCGGAGGGGTCGAAGCGACAGTCCGAACCCAGCATCAGCGTCGAGAAGGCCGCGAACCCGACTTTTGACATCACTGTTGGCGACCCGCACAAAGTTGGAGATCTCACGAGCAGTCATATCGTGTATCAAGTCAGGACGAAGGTATGGATGTCGCTTGTCGGGCTGCGAGCTAGTCGGCCACTTTGGTTGAGAGAACGCTAACGCTGGATTCCAGACGACCTCTAAAGCCTACAGACAACCGGAGTTCACGGTCAGCCGGCGATACCGCGACTTCTTGTGGCTCTACAACTCCATGCACAACAACAACCCCGGTGTCGTTGTTCCTCCACCCCCGGAGAAGCAAGCAGTAGGTCGGTTCGATACGAACTTCGTCGAGTCTCGAAGAGCTGCCCTGGAGCGCATGTTGAACAAGATTGCGGCGCATCCCATCCTTCAACATGATGGGGACCTGAAGATTTTTCTGGAGAGCGACACGTTCAACCTTGACGTGAAGAACAAGGAAAATCGGGAACCTGATCTCGGGCAAAGCAAGGGCATGTTCAGTTCTTTCGGGATTAATGTTGGTGGAGGTGGGAAGTTTGTTGAACATGACGACGTAAGCGGCATCCCCGAGCCACATAGAACTCTTGACTGACAAATCTGCAGTGGTTCCATGACCGCAAGATCTATCTCGATGCCTTGGAGAATCAGCTGAAGGCGTTGCTGAAGTCTGTCGACTCCGTGGTGGCTCAGCGGAAAGGATTGGCCGAAGCAGCGGGCGACTTTTCTGCATCAATTCACGCCTTGGCTGCTGTCGAGCTCTCTCCTGCACTGTCGGCCCCCTTGGAGGGTCTTTCCGACCTTCAGCTGCGTATTAGGGAGTTGTATGAGCGCCAAGCACAGCAGGATGTTCTCACCCTCGGAATTACCATCGACGAGTACCTACGACTGATTGGCAGTGTCAAGACAGCGTTCACTCAACGACAAAAGGCGTTCCACAGCTGGCATGCGGCCGAGGCTGAATTGCAGAAACGCAAGCACACTCAGGAGAAACTGCTCAGGCAAGGAAAGACCCAACAGGATCGCCTCACGCAGATCAATGCCGACGTGGCCGATGCTGAACGGAAATCCCATCAGGCACGGTTGTTGTTCGAGGATATGGGCCGGTTGATGCGTAATGAACTCCAGCGATTCGAGAAGGAGAAGGTGGAGGACTTCAAGTCTGGTGTGGAGACATTCCTGGAGAGCGCCGTCGAAGCCCAGAAGGAGGTATGTGTTTCAGGTTCAACCTCCGAAATACCATATGCTAACCGATGCAGTTGATCGAACTGTGGGAGACCTTCCTCATGCAGCTCGACGCGGGAGAAGAAGGCAATTTGCTGTATGGTGCACCTGGGGCAGGCGATGCTCCAACCGAGTCAGTTCCGGAGACAGCTTCAACCGAAACAGCGGAAGAGGCTTAAGTGATATCCCGTTGTCTCTCGCCTCTGTATAAAGATAACCCGCCACAACTCGTTGACAGCCCTCCAACTGTTATTGTTGTTATACTCCTTGTGTCTCGATTGCAATCCCTCGGTGCGGCGCACAGTTGTTCATATCCGGCGAGTTCTTGACAAGTACGCAACCCAGATAACTGTTTAGCAGCGCATTTAAGCCCTTACTTTTCATCACCTCATGTAGACTAATCCCAATGTCAAATTTGAAACAAACAAACAAACAAGAAAACTCCATTCAGATGGGTGCGTGGTATGATGACGATGTGTGTGTGTATACTGTACATTGAAAAAAAACAAATTTGGGGAGGAACGATCCCACAACAACGATCCCAGAGACACCTCCCATCTTGAAGCCCATCACATAGTACAAATCTAGCTGGGGTAAGATAAAAAGGAAGGCGAAAAAAAGGCCGGGGCCAACGATCAACCTCGCCTCTCCCTCTCATTTCGCTTCAACTTCCTCAAACAAACGACTAAGACCAAATCACCACTTCTTCTTCTTCTCCGAAGGCCCGGCCTCCTGCTGTCCGAACGAACTGATCAAATCCAACAGGTTATCATCCTCTTCCTCGGCCTCGGCCTGAGCCGCCTCGGCCTCGGCCGTCTTCTCGGCCTCGCTCCCAGCAGGGGCGGTGTTGGTGTCGAACCCGCGACCGAACTTGGCACGGAAGGCCGCCAGGCGTCCGGCCTCGTCCTGCTCCAGGCTGGCCAGCCGGCTGGACGAGGGGTTCCACATGACGGAGTTGCGCGTGTCGCGGGTGGAGCGGTAGATGGGGAGCGGGGAGGAGGTCCGGTGCGTGAAGGTGCTGCCGTCGGAGAGGGTGATCAGCTGCGTGAACTGATAGGGCCGCTTGGGGCGGCGCAGGAGGGTGGCATGGCGGCATTGCGAGCAGATGAAGGTCGTCGAGGGTTGAAGCCGGGCCGTCGTGGCCGTGGCCGTGACCGTGCTGCGGCGGAGGGGGGTGGTGAAGGACATTTTTCTGGAGGGGATTGCAGATAGAGTTTCGGGTCACGGTCTTGGGACCTGGACCTGGAGGGGATTAAAGCGAGAGAAGGAGTGGGTGAAATGTGTTTTGTATATGTGATATGCGATTTGGATGCGGTCAATTCGGGATGGTTTTCTCTCTCTCTCTTTCTTTTTCCCGAGCTGCTGGGGAATTTTGGGATGCGCGCGGATCCGGTAGGCGGTCAGTTTGCTCCGACGGCCCTTTTTTCTTTCCTTGACAATCGGCGCTTCGGGGAACCTCCGGAGGTAATTCTTTAACTAACTTGCCTTGGATAACTGCATAAACATTCGGGATGATATTGGAGGAGCTCTAAATAACGCATTGTTCTCGATTTAATGCTGCAACATTGAGTATAAAGCTCAAATTAATCATTCTCCCGTCATCGTCGCATATTCCGACATACAATTCACCCGAATATGCCTCCATACTCTCGACACATGCTTGCAGCAGGCCGGACTGCAGCAAGCTCCAGCTTGCTCAGAGGTACACCCCAACACCATTGAACCGCCCTGATCGCATTTCAACTAACCCATTGTCTACAGGCCTCACCCCTGTATTACGACCATATTCAGTTCCTGCTACACCCACCACCTCCACCACCTCCGCGAAACCCTCATCCCACACAATCATCACCAGCAAACGAACCTGCACCACCTCCCCCGCAACCCACCAACAAGAACAACACCAAGAAGAACAAGAACAACAACCCTCGCAAACACCCTTATCCACTCAGCCCACCCAACAGGACCTCTCAACGCAAATCCGCCTCCTAATGCGCCAAGTCCCCTACCCCGTCGCCATCATCACCTCCACCGATCCGCACGCGCACGCCCGCACCTCCGCATCACCATCGCCATCGCAACCTTCCTCATCCTCATCACCCTTCCGCGGCATGACCGTCTCCTCCTTCAACACCGTAACCCTCCACCCAACCCCAATAATCTCCTTCAACGTCCGCCGCCCCTCCGAAACCCTCACCGCCCTCCAGTCCTCCGGCCGCTTTCTCGTCCACCTCCTCGCCCCGCATCCGCGCACCGCCGCCCTCGCCCGGGACTTCTCGCGCGGGAACCGTCGCCTAGGGATTCTGCCTGCCCCGGAGACAGGAGATAAACCAGGAGAGGAGGAGCCGGGGACAGCGGGGTATGAATTCGCGGCTCTGCCGCCCTCGCCCGTCGAAAGCGAGAACGTCAGCAGCACCAACCCCAACACCAAAGACGCACACCCCCCTCCTCTCCCGTTATTACGGCGCAGGAATCGATCTCCCGGAAGTGCTGCAAACCCGAAAGACCAAGAAAAGGTGGACGATTTCCCCTTTGTGTTCGAGTGTCGAGTGCTACCGCAGTCGATCCAGGTGCAGGATCACACGATCGTGGTGGGGAGGGTGGTGCGGGCGATTACCCGTCCAAAACATGCCGGAGAAGCAGCAGCCACGATGATAGACCACCAGGTCCAGCAGGACGCAAAGGATTTGTGTTTAACGTATGCGGATACGCGGTTTTGGGAGATTGGGAAAGAGATTTGAATCCCTTTCCCCCCCCCTTGAGTGGTGTATATTGGATGGACTTGGATTCGTATGTTATGCTTGGAAGATAGGGCTTGTGTAGGTGGGAGTTGGGAATAGTCGGGTCGGTGGAGTTGGAGTAGGAGTGGGAGTGTACTGTACCTATACCCTTGTTGGTTGATTCATTGGGAGGGGTTGCTATATAGAGATTTTTGATGTCTGAAATATATACCAGATGATATAGAGGTGTGAATGGCTCGTTGGTTTAAGATGCATGCAATAATTTTGGCTACTGGCTGTGCAAGCTAGTTACTCACTGCAACATTACATACACTACAGACACTACAGCATTAGTCGGATGCACTGAACACAAGTTCTAAAGGTTATAGATCTCTAGTCCTGATTACTACAAGCAGACTTCATGCAACAAGTTTCTTTCGTCGCAATGTAGGAAGTTTAGACTCTACTTAATGACACGGTTTTATTTGTTCATAGGCTTGCGATAAGAACCAGATCAACAAGCATCGCAGCTCCAGGCTCAACCAACCCTGTCGGTCCACCAAACCCGAAGACATACGATCACCCACACAACCTGTAGCATCACGTACGAAGATCAACAAACACGGAAAGGAATTCAACGAGTTTTGAGAGAAAGGTGTCCCAGAGCGAGAAACTCCACCTCAAAATCCTAGTTGCCCTTGCCAGTCGAGCTGGGACTGCCGCTGCCGCTGCCGCTGCTGCCACTACCGCCGCTTCCACTGCCACTGCCCCGGCTGCCGGCCCGCTGGAACGGGCTAGCAATGGGTCGGACACTCGCACCTTGAGCGTTGCCATCTGAGCCAGAGACGCTCCGCTTGTCAGCAACCGAATCCGACAGATCGAACTGATAAGGGTGTCGACGGCTGTGGGCGTCCATAAAATCAGACCCATACAGACTACTTCGTGCAGATCGATTGGAGAACGAGCGGTCCCGTGTAGCGAAATCAGCATCGAAGTAGGTACCGCTATGGCCGATTGGAGATGTCGGGAAGTGCGCAAGGTAAGAGGGTGCCTGAACTGGGCTGGCCGGGTGAGACAGCGAGTCACCGACAGGGGACGAGGTCTGCTGAAGAGGGCTGGATTTCAACGCGGGGAAACTCAGTCCTAAGATTGATCGGGTGGTGGGAGCAGCCGTCAACGCGGCGATGGACAAACTGGGTGCATCGGTGAGAGGGTTCGTGCCGGGCAGAGTTCCCTCCGGAGTGAGCGGGACGGGGTCCAGGAGCATCTGCTGCTGTTGCTGCTGCTGAATGGCTTGTTCAATAGCGGCAGCTTGCTGCCAGAGTTGATTGGTGCGCAACTGGTACTCCTGCACAGACTGACCGATGCTGGAAAATTGCTCGTTAAAGCTGACTTCCAGCTTGGCTTGATCCTGTTCCCTCGCAAATTGTTCCGCAGCACGACGCTCCCTCTCGTTAAGACCCTGTGCGTTAGCAGAGACAATGCGCTCGTACTGTTCGTTGACGCGAGTCCGGCGGCCTTGAAGGCGTTCTTTCCTCTGCACAGTGGAATTCAATTCACTTTCCAAAGATGACACCTCACGGGAGATTGCAGTTCGAGCAGCAACGAGTTCCTCCTTGGCCAGATTGAGCTGTTCCAACTCTTGGTCGAATTTGGCCTTCTGGTTTGTCCATTCCTCGAGTTCCTCCTCCGGGACGTTCTGCAAGGTGTCCAGCTGGCTTTCGAGTGCAGCCGTGGCCTCCTCGGTTTGCTTGATATTCCTTTCGAGCTGTAGTGAGCGCTGCTTCTGTCGATTTTCATCCGTACCGCTCTGTAGCCGGTGGTTGAAGTTTTCCAACTCTTTCCGGATCTTCGAGATTGCGAGCTTGTGATCATTTTTGGCCTTTCTCAGCCGAGAGCGTTTCTCATTCAGCTTGACCTCGGCGTTGACGATCGAGTTCTTGAGTGTGGTAGTCGGGGAAGACGGACGATACGTTGGCTGCGGAGGAACTGATACCGAAGATACTAAAAGTGACGTTAGCGATATTAAAATCAATTGCGAAGAGGCTTCATAGTACCTTGCTCTGCGTCATTTGCGGCGGGGGTCTTGACGCTCATGACACAGATTTCCTCGTCAGTATCGCTCCGCATGAAAGAGCAGGTGTAGGCGCAGTTCGGCGCGAGACCCGAAATTTCACCCCGCCAATGCACAGTGTGTGAGCCCTTAGACGAATCCTGTACTTTGTTGATCACTGCGGTCGCCCACAGTGCACCGTTAACACAGACGTAGAATGGTTCCGTTTCTTCACCTCCAAGACGTCCTGCTTCGCAAGCTCCGGAAACTGAAGAATCATCGGGCGAAGCAAGATCGCCCGCTGCAAACTTGATGGTAGAGCTATCAATCTCGGTTATCCAAACAAGCCCGTCATCCAGAGACACTCCTTGTAGATCCTCTTCCGTCATTGCGAGACCTCTGCCAGTTTTCGATAAAGCCCTAGAATGCTCATATTCCCTCATTACCGTTACTTTCGTGCTTGCGAGGGCGGCCCAGAAAGGCTGACGATTCCGAACCTGGTTCGCCTGCCTCCTGCGTTTCTTGGCCGAGATCAGTCTATCGCGACCGTCCTTGTGAGTGGCGGGCGTAACAATCTGGCCATCGGCACCGATATAGGAAGAGACACTGGCGCCGGACTCGAATGCAGAATCGATTTGTGTTTGCGAGCCGGCGGACGCTTCGGTATCCACGCGCTTGCCGTTCCGAGGGGGCACCGGAGATCGGTTCTTAGCCATCGACCGTCTCGCCATGGCAGTACCAGCTTGAGCCAATATATGCACCGCAAGTAAACTCCGCATCCAGCTCGGAGAGCTTTGCGGTTCGGTGCGTCGGAATTCGGTGGGCATAAGGTGGGAATACTGCGAGAGGAGATCGGGACTGACGATTTTGGATGAGAGCAGATGACCTATAACAAAATCCTGTATACCTTTACTGCGGATAAGATGTAATACGAGGACGATGCCAACACAGAGCGCATTGACCCCTCCATTTTTTCCAGAGCCTCCGCCGCCAAGGGTGATGGCGACTTGCACGTGAGCGAGATCTAGGGCGAAGTTCTGCGCCCAGGTCCACATGAAGAGGCCCCAGAACAACAGGCAGAACCCATCCATTGCAATCATTGTACCCAGCGATGGTGTTCCGGCGGGACCCTGAAAGATGTCGAAGTTGGAGGTCAGGGAGCCGGAAGACGCGCCACCAGGAGGCATGAAGGTCAAGGAAGCGAACAAGAATTGAACCAGAGTGAGAACCATAGGCGGAAGCTGAAGCAGAAAGATCAAGATCGCGATCGTGTCGTACATCGGGCAAGACTTGAGGATCGTGGACGCCAGTTGGAGCGGGTTAATCGAAGCACTGGAGGCCGACCTTTTGGTACCTGTCACCGACTTGTCCGTCCGACGCGACGCCTGGGCTGCGAGTCCGCCATTCTGCGGCGCCGCACCATTCGTCTGACCATATGACATGTCCGCGCTGCCTTTTGCGTATCCATTCAGTTGACCTCGTCCGTTACCCTCCGCCTTGGAAGAATCAGTGTTGCCGTTCACCTTGCTTGTCGTTGCGGCGGTTGAAGTTAGAGCCGAGTCGCTGGACGAGCGGGACGGTTGCCAGTCGACCTGGGTGGAAGGGCCAGAAGTCGGATTCGAGGTGCTGGCCGAGGT